GCAGCTGCTTATCTGAAGCATCAAATCAGGAGGTCTTACAGCGCTTTGAGAACAAGGCTCAGATCTCGGGTGGGTGACCCACACTCACTCTTAATAGCAGTAATCATACAATATACCTTATGCACAGAAAAAAGAGCAAGGGGAACTATATAGTGTAATAGATCCAAACTCACTCTTATTAAAAATTCAGGGCATGTACAGAGCATTAAATTTAAACATATCATGAACACTCGCTGATTCTCTGGGCGAGCATGATGATGTCACTGGTAGGCACTGCTCTACGCATTTTGTCCTACGAGACATCTTTCAAGGGGCATGTCACGACCTGTGTATTGAGGTCTAGGCTTCAGGTAAGCAGCTGTGTATGTTGGTGATTGGTGCACTGGAACTGGTGGTGGCTAAGAAAAAATCATTTTGTTCATGGTGGATTTTTAAAAATTTGTTATACAATATATGAGACTCAATATCATATTTTTTGCTTAATATTATTATCCATAGTATTATTACTATAATGCACATTGTTTTGCAGATAAGGTTATTTTGAGGGAAATTCATGTATTTGGATTGTGGTGAATTTAAAGAGACAGCACAACACATTTTTGTATAAAAATTGTATTTGGATATTTTTCCTGTGTTTGAATATTGGTGAGTGCTGCTGTTTTGTTATTTTATTTGATATTAAGGCACATTTAGTGTGGGTTTAATACATACTAGTTTTGTTATTTAAGGGATACTCTAACTCAGTGTCAGTATGGACTGGTCTTCAACTTGTTCTTCATGTTCTGACAGATGTATCCAATCTGCTAATTTGCTGACAGCTCTGAAAAATTATGCTGACTCCCTCTGATGTCAAGTTGATTAATTTGGATGATACTTGAGATAAAATGTCAGGAGTTAAAAAAATGCAACAGATCTTGAATTAGTCCTGTATGTTTCCTTATACTGACCTAGCTCTCCCTGACCTAATTTTGGATAATGCTCTGTACAGTTGCCTACAAGATTTTAACCTCAGCTTCATCCATGATTTTGATTCGCCTTGTGATTTTGTACTGTGCTACCCAATCGTTGCTTACCTCCAACTTTCTCTGTGTTTCCACTACTGTCTCTGTCTCCTGTCCCACGTAATCACCTAGTGCCAGCTCTGGACTACTGTAGAACCAGCTACAGTTATCTATGCATATTCCTGCCACCTGCCTACTGGAAGCACTGGTGGATTGTGCCATTCTGAACTTGCCACCCAACCAAAGTTCCAATTTAACTTCTGCTGGCTTCTCCCATGATTCTGCTGATCCCTCGGATTACATTTCTGACCTTATGATCGGTTGGTTAGTCCTGGTTGGCATGTCCACTCCGAGATTCTACAATCAACATCTTCTGGCACTTGTGTTCTTTCTGCCTTTTGGCACCGCCTGTTCCACTTCCAGGGGTGCTTGGGTAAGCGATACAAGTGGAGCCACTCTTGTTATTTCAGTCTCCTTTCAGGTACTTGTCAATTTCTACTCATGACAGCACTTTCCAATTACTATTACTAATTTAGGCAGCAGGCTACTAGTTTTTGGCCTTTCTGTACCCAAGGAGCACATTCATTGTTTGGTTAAGTCTGTTCTGAGTTCTGTTGGTGCAGGCTCTATTGCTTTCCCCTCTATCTTAGAGAATATTGGGACATAGTGGGTGAAAGAATACAGACCCTGGCCTGCATATTATTGCCTCTTCAGTCAATCCCTGGTCAGGTACGTGAGTGATCAACAGGGGGCTGAAAAGGGTATAAATAGGCTAGGATCCAGAGCAGAGGCTGATTTTTCCTGGGGGAGTAAAAACTCGACCTGAGGGCTCTGGCATCCCTGGGAGTTTACCTGCAGTTGGAAGAACCTTTTTTTGGGGGTACCAGCTTCTGTTTGGCTGGGGGACCTCTAGCCTCCTGAAGATTGCATAGAGCTCTTCCAGGCAATTCAAGTGCAGAGTCTGACTGATACCGCATGTAGTTACAGGGTATTCAGGAAACAGTGAGTACTAGCTTTCTGGACCTATAGACTTTCTTTGGCCTCTTTTGGGACCAAAATAAGTATGCATATATCATACTTTTCCCTTTTACATTCAGGACTATACATCTGAGTCCCTGTTTAGTAGCAGTTTACCTTCACTTTAAAGTGGGTTCCTTCACCCTGAAGGTATATTTCAGATTAGGTGTCCTGCAAGTTGTTAAAATTTATTGGAGTATCCCTAGGCTCCTTAGGCTATCCCTATCCTAGTTCTCTAACTCTTACTCCCTATCCTGTCCTCTGACTCAAGTGATTGGGAAATACCATGTGTCCAGCTGCTGTGTGCCTATCAGGGAATGGAACCTGGGACCAAACAGCCAGATCAGTCTGCCTTACACTATGTACTGCACCATTTACGCTGCAATGAAAAAAAAGTCCTGCATGCAGTTCCTATTTTCTTTTCAAAATCTTTTTTTTTAGGTTTTATATACAAATATATCAGCCACAATAAAGGTTCAGAATAGGAAGGAAATACTGCTTGTTCTCTGTACTGTATTATATATACATGACTAAGACATGTGTGCATAATCAAAGATAGCAACTATAGAAAATGAATACTACCAGACAAAATAAGTACAACAACATAGCATATCGTATATGCATAGCTATTTGCTGAATCCATTCTCCAGAGACCCGGCAATGCGGGCCCCGCCTGAGCCTGAGTAAATGATAACAAGGAACAGATAAAGAGTAAAAGATGAAGAAAACAGAATCCAACTGGGAAAAGAAAAGAAAAGAAGAGAAAGAATAAAGAAAGAGTAACCTCCTGAGCAATAGGGGACCAAAGTTATCCTATTTTCCATTATGGTTATCATACAAAAGGTTCTATATAGTAATGGTGAATGTCGGGGACAACTCTTTCCAATGGAACCATTTCGCATCAAACTTTTCCATAGAAGAATGACTCAAAGCCAAAGCCCTCTCGTACACATAGTGTGTCTGTACCCTTTGAATAACCTCTGATATACAAGGGGAGTTTGACAATTTCCATCTACTAGTGATGGCCAATCTAGCAGCAATGAAAATATGACCTATAATTGTTCTATATTTACTAGGAAAAGAATTTAGTTTGAGGTTAAGGAGGGCTAAATGTGGATTTGGAGGGGAAATTATGCCCAACACCATAGAGATAAGTGTGAATACCTCTATCCAGAATGTTTTCAAACAAGGACATGACCACAAAACGTGAAGAATATTCCCCTCCCCGCCACATTCCCTCCAACATAGTGGGGGTGTGTCAGGGTAGATTTTAGATAATTTATATGGAGTGAAGTAACTATGGTGCATTATCTTCAAGGAGCAATCCCAATGGTTAGTACAATTAGATATACTTAAACTGCTTTTCGGGGCATCCTCCCATTCGTTTCTTGTAAAGGATGTTTGTAGATCCCTTTCCCATCGTTCTACACTAGGTATTGAAGAATCATCACGATCATAATGTAAAAGTTTATAAAGTTTGGAGATTCCGTTCTTCATTTTGACAGGATGTTTAATAAAATGCCATAACTTAGGATCTATTTCCAACCATGTATTTAGGTCAGTACTAGAGATGAGCGAATTATTCAAAAATTCGATTCGGCTGATTCGCCGAATTTGCGGAAGAAATTCGATTCGATGCAAATTTATTCGCTGCGAATTTAACTTATTAAAAGGGTTTCTAGGCTTCAGAGAGCCTTTATATTAGTGCAGAACACTGTACCTTTAATTTAAATGCCCTTGGAGTCTGCTGGGGAAGAGAAATAATACTGTCAGTCAGTATGACATGCAGATGAGTGCCGTCGATCTTAGAATCACCGCACACTTCACTCATTTGGGCAGTCACGGGGCACGACGAAGAAGATGAAGAAGAAGATGAAGAAGAAGAAGAATGAAAAGAAGAAGAAGAAGAATGAAAAGAAGAAGAAGAAGAAGAAGAATGAAAAGAAGAATGAAAAGAGGAAGAAGAAGAAGAATGAAAAGAAGAAGAAGAAGAATGAAAAGAAGAATGAAAAAAAGAAGAAGAAGAATGAAAAGAAGAAGAAGAATGAAAAGAAGAAGAAGAAGAATGAAAAGAAGAATGAAAAGAAGAAGAATGAAAAGAAGAATGAAAAGAAGAAGAAGAAGAATGAAAAAAGAAGAAGAAGAAGAATGAAAAGAAGAAGAATGAAAAGAAGAATGAAAAGAAGAAGAAGAAGAATGAAAAGAAGAATGAAAAGAAGAAGAAGAAGAATGAAAAGAAGAATGAAAAGAAGAAGAAGAATGAAAAGAAGAAGAAGAAGAAGAATGAAAAGAAGAATGAAAAGAAGAAGAAGAAGAAGAAGAATGAAAAGAAGAAGAAGAAGAATGAAAAGAAGAATGAAAAGAAGAAGAAGAAGAATGAAAAGAAGAATGAAAAGAAGAAGAAGAAGAAGAATGAAAAGAAGAATGAAAAGAAGAGAAGAATGAAAAGAAGAAGAAGAAGAATGAAAAGAAGAAGAAAAGAAGAAGAAGAAGAATGAAAAGAAGAATGAAAAGAAGAAGAAGAATGAAAAGAAGAAGAAGAAGAATGAAAAGAAGAAGAAGAAGAATGAAAAGAAGAATGAAAAGAAGAAGAAGAAGAATGAAAAGAAGAAGAAGAAGAATGAAAAGAAGAAGAAGAAGAAGAATGAAAAGAAGAATGAAAAGAAGAAGAAGAAGAATGAAAAGAAAGAAGAATGAAAAAAGAAGAAGAAGAATGAAAAGAAGAAGAACAATGAAAAGAAGAAGAAGAAGAAGAAGAAGAAGTAGGATGAGGATGAAGAAGAAGAAGAAGAAGTAGAAGAAGAAGAAGAAGAAGAAGAAGTAGGATGAGGATGAAGAAGAAGAAGAAGTAGGATGAGGATGAAGAAGAAGAAGAAGAAGTAGGATGAGGATGAAGAAGAAGAAGAAAGTAGGATGAGGATGAAGAAGAAGAAGAAGAAGTAGGATGAGGATGAAGAAGAAGAAGAAGAAGAAGAATGAGATGAAGAAGAAGAAGAAGAAGTAGGATGAGGATGAAGAAGAAGAAGAAGTAGGATGAGGATGAAGAAGAAGAAGAAGAAGTAGGATGAGGATGAAGAAGAAGAAGAAGGATGAGGATGAAGAAGAAGAAGAAGAAGTAGGATGAGGATGAAGAAGAATTCCATTCCAGCAAAAAGTGTATCTGCAGAGAGCACCGCTATTTCTGACAGTTCTCTGACAGTTCCTTCACATTTACAGCGGTTGAAACATTGTATCTATTTGTTTCCGAATAAAAACATCTGTATCCTAAATGGAAACAATAGATACAATGTTTCAACCGCTGTAAATGTGAAGGAACTGTCAGAGAACTGTCAGAAATAGCGGAGCTCTCTGCAGGGACACTTTTTGCCGGCTGTAGAAGGGATGAAAATCGGCCGATCGGGAAAAAATTTGATTCGCGCATCCGAAGTTTGCTAATATTCGGATTCGGTGCGAATCGAATTTTTCCTAAAATTCGAAATGAATTCCACTTCGCCAGGTTCGATTCGCTCATCTCTAGTCAGTACCATGGAATCCCCTTATCTGCAGGTATGGGTGCATTCCTGTACCCAGAACTGGTTGTTTTATTTCCTCAAATGTATTGTATCCTAGGTCTCTTAATAATTTAGAATTTAGATTTGGTATAAGATGTTCATATGCCGAGATTGGGAGAGTAATTTGAAGTTTAGGATAGGAATCAGAAATTAAGCTTAAACCCATGTTCCAAGCTTCCAACGTGGCGACAATAGATGGTAAAAGAGAGGTAATCAGTTTAGATGAGACTGCTCTAGCCAGGATAAGGGCCTGTAGGTCTTTATTAGGAATCGTATTCCGTTCAATCTGCACCCACAATTTGTCCGTGGGCGCAAACCAAGCCGGAAGTTGCTCTAAAAGTGTTGCATAATAGTATATGGGTAATACGGGTAGCCCATTCCTCCTTTTGATTTATGTTTCGTAAGGGCCAGGAATGGAATCCGCGTTTTTTTTTCCTTTCCATATAAATCTTTTGATAGCTAGCTCTAGCTAAAAGAAATAGTTTCAAGGGATGAGAATTGGAATCGTTCTAAAATAATACAGAATTTTAGGAAAGATTAACATCTTAAATGCTGCTATTCTACCTATCCACGATGTTTCGAACTTATCAAGCCTTCGCATGTCTAGCAGAGAAGATTGATACAGTTTTTCAAAGTTATTCTTAAATGTGTGAGAAGTCGGGGATGATATACAAATGCCAAGGTAGTCCAACTTTTTGTTGATCCACTGGTAAGGAAATGTATCCTTGAGAAAGCCTAGAGGGCATTTCTTAATTGCAATAGGAAGGGCACAAGATTTAGTAACATTGAGTTTATAATAAGATGACCGCACTAAAGGACTCCAAGGAATTCGAGATTTCAGTAAGAGACTGCAATCGGATCAGTGACCGAAAGGATTACATCGTCCGCAAATAGGCTATTTTATGGAGGTAGATGCTACTTGGATACCTGAGATCCGTGGATTGGATCTAATTTCCTCCGCTAGAGGTTCCATCACTAATGAAAAAATTATAGGGGATAAAGGGCAGCCTTGTCTCGTGCCATTGGTAATATTGAAAGGGGGGACAGGGCATTAGACGTGAACACCTGCGCAGAAGGAACCATGTACAGTGCCATAATGGCTGACTTTATGAAGCCAATTATCCCAAATTTGGTTAAAGTAGCACCTAAATATCTCCAATGAACCCTATCAAATGCTTTCTCGGGCATCCAACGCCAAAAACACAGCCTGGAGACCCTTTGATTCCGCGTCGTGCATCAAATTAAGAATCCTACGGGTGCCATCCGCTGCCTGGCGACCCTTGACAAAACCCCACCTGGTCCGCTTGAATTAGAAGGGGAGTGATATTTAGTAAGCGATTAGCTATAATTTTAGCGTATATATTTTAAGGTCAGTGTTTAAAAGTGAAATTGGCCTAAAATTTTGAGGCCGGTCCGGGGCTTTCCCCGGTTTGGGTAATGTAACTATAACAGCCTTTAGCATCTCCGAAGGGAAATTCAGAGTTCAATATAGCTGCGTCATAAGTCTTTTTAAGATGGGGCACTAAAATGGGGGTGAAATTCTTGGTAATATTCAGCATAGAAGCCATCTGCCCCTGGGGATTTCCCTTTAGGCAGTGTTTTAATAGCCCTACTAATCTTGGATTCCGAAATAGGTTGGTTAAGCCCGTCTAGTTTCTGGTGCGTTAACTTTGGCAGTGTTAAGTGATCCAAAAATTTTTGGATAAGTTCAGGGGTAGGTTGAGGAGTGTGTTGGGGTCCTCTTTAAGATTATAAAGTTGAGAGTAGTAGGAACGAAACGCATCCGCTATTTTATTAGGATGATGTAAAGTTTTATTGGAAACAGGGTCAATAATAGACGTTAGTTTAGATTTTGCCAGTCTAATAGTAAGGTATGTCGCTAACATCTTTCCCACTTTATTCCCTTGTGTATGAAAGGTAGTTTTGGCTCTTTTCAAATTTAATGCATGGCGCCAAGACATCAGGGTTCTAAGTTCAAGCCTGGCAGCTTGGAGGTCCTCTAGGACCTTAGTAGATAAGGATTGCTTATGAAGGCTTTCTAGGCTAGGCTAGCTATTTTTGTGGACTAATTCTGAAAAAAGATTTGCTCCTATCTCGTCTATCCTGTGAAGCCAATTTCAAAAAGAATACCTCTACAGTACGCTTTATGTGCGCACCACGTGCTAAAGACATTCGTAGTAGAGGGGGAGTTAGCATCAAAAAATTCCTGTAACGCTGTGGTGAGAGTAGAGCGAAATGCAGGGTTATAATACATAGATACATTGTAAAATACGGGAGAAAATTTTAAAGATTCCTCAATAGTCAGAGAAATAGGTGCATGATCTGACCACGTCATGGGGTGAATATCTGCACTAGCAACCATTGAATGTCCGTCAGGAAGAAGTCAATTCTTGAGTAAGAATTATGTGGGTGCTGAGAAGTGGGTATAGTCCCTTTCTGAAGTGTGTAAACACCTCCATGGACCATACAGATTAGCCTCGGACATCACATTGGCAAGAGAGTGTCGTAGTTTGCGAGTTGAGTGGGAGGAGTCCAAGGAGGAATTAATAATGGAGTTGAAGTCTCCGCAAAATAAGAGGAATCCCTTCTGGATTTTTGCCACTTTTTTCCGCAAGGAGTTGAAAAAGTGGATTTAATGAACATTGGGAGCATAGATATTGACAATGGTATAAGTGATGTTGTTGATTTCACAAACTATGATTAGGTATCTTCCTTTGCTATCAGCCTCCTGGAACAACAGTGAAAACACGACAGAATTACGAATGGCTGTAAGGACCCTGCATTTTTTATTCGGACCATTGGATGTAAATATATGTAGGAATAAACGATGCAAGCAGAGTGGGGCTTTAGTAGAAGCAAATATAATTAATAATACTCGTGAGCCAAAATGTGATACTCCCTAGTGCAATAAATGATTTAACAGACAAAAATATATATCAAATTATGGTGCATCAACACTTTACACAATACTCATTATCTGTGCAAAACATACACTAAATATAAAAAATTATATATATCTACAAATATATATAATACGTGTCACGCTCCATAGTATACATGTAAACTCATATATTTAGAGCTGTATTCAGCAGGTATATGGCCCAGATCCTGGGATTGTGAATTGTGAAAAGAATTTGTTTTCCCCCTGATGAAGCCACGTGACCCTGTGGCGTAACGCGTAGGGGAGGGCTCTGACATCACGACGCCACGGTGGACGAGCGGCATTCACAATCACAGGATCTGGGGCATATACCTGCTGAATACAGCTCTATTGGACACTGCAAAATGTGAGTGGTGACTTTACTCTACTAATAAAAGATTGAACCTCACAAAGGATAAGGCACTATTGTGGCTCTTTTTTACATGGTTCATTGAGAGGAGGATATACCATCCAAATCATTTCTACCCATCCATTGAGGCTAAAGTGTGGAAGGAGGAATAAGGGAGACCTCTGGTGGCAGAAATAAGGCAATCCACAGCATGGATGGAAACACGTATATAGTGTGAAGATTTCCACCCTGTCCTGATAAGGACAAAAAGTGTTTTTAGCCCACTTTGGCTAAATAAGGAGGTGAGCGCACACCTATCTATAGAGCACGGGGAGTGTGGCACGAATCACCTTACTTGTCACTGAAAAGTTATAAGACTATAAAGAGGACTATTTATGAGTATTGGATTAGTATTATTTTTGCAATAGCATCACAAGGTGCACTGGTTTGAAGCACATTAATTTTTTCACGTTATTATTTATATAATCACTAATATATGAGTTTACATGTATACTATGGAGCGCGACACGTATATATATATTTGTAGATATATATAATTTTTTATTTAGTAGAAGCAAAATGTGTTTCCTGAACACAAATCACGTCGCCAGCTAATCTTTGTGCTTCTCTCCACATCGAGTGACGTTTGAGTGGGCTATTGAGACCATGGGCGTTCATAGATACGATTTTTAAAGACCATGGTGAGGTTAAGGTAGATGATTTAGTAGTGCCTTCAAGTGGTGTAATGAGGAATAGCATAGACAAAATTGTGAGCCAGGTGAATATGCTTACTGTATCCCCCGAAGACCAGCACGAGGTAGAGGATTGCTTCTTCATCTCGCAAGAGAAATATGGTTTAGTGTATGTCCAAACTTGGTCCCTTCTGGAGCTCTGAAGGAAGAAATTTAGCCAAGAAGAAGAAAAAAAAAAAGGAAGGAAAGAAAAAAAAAAACATTTAACGAAAAACTTTGTGTGAACTTAATCACTTCAACGGATGGGGGTTCAATGCCGAGAGGCGCAGCGTAATACTGGCTTTCTTGGTGTACAGCAGGTAATTAACAGGGGGTTAAAAGGCACGGGAGGAAGTACGGCACGGAAACTCATCCCGCCACTTGTTCCCAATCAGGAGGCATTTTTCTAGGGGAGCCTTTGGTAGGAATGGATGTATCTTCAGCTGGCAGAAGGCCCATTTTTTTGGCTAGTTGGAATCCCTCCATTTTGGATTTTACCGTTACTACACGGTTGTCTTTGGTGATGAGCAGTTTGGTAGGAAAGCCCCATTGGTATTTGATATCATGGTTTCGTAGCTGCTTCGTAAAGGATAGCAGCTTTTTTTCGGTCTAGGATGGTATGTTGGGAGAGGTCTGTGAACAAGGATATCCCAGTGTAGGGGTCTGGAAGCGGTTGTTTTTTCTAGCGAAGAGCATGAGTTCCTCTTTAACGTGATAAAAATGGATTCGCACTATGGTATCTCTGGGAAGATGGGCGGGAAGGAAAGAAGGCTTTGGCAGTCTGTGGGCCCTGTCTACTACTACCTCTCTGTCCAGAGTGTGGGGCAGCAGAGCAGAGATCATTTGTTGAATATAATTGCGTAATTCAGTGTTAGAGATGGTTTCGCCGATACCCCTGAATTTAATATTATTCCTGCGGGACCTGTCCTCCAGATCCGCCAGTTTCATCTTTAATGCTGATAAGTCATCATCAGTGTCATTGTGTGCATCCACCAATTCGTTATGGGCTTTAGCGAGTTTCCCCCATTTTATTCTCCACATGAGATACCCTGTCGCCCAAGCATTCAATATCCTTGTTCACTTGCGCCACAAAGCCCATCATATCTTTATGCAGTGAGCCTTTAAGAGTAATCAACATATCTTTCAGCACTGCAGATGTGAGTGGCACAGATTGTGTAGGGTAATCTAACTGTTCCACAAACTCAATATTCTCCATTCAATAACTCCATTCCAGCAAAAAGTGTATCTGCAGAGAGCACCGCTATTTCTGACAGTTCTCTGACAGTTCCTTCACATTTACAGCGGTTGAAACATTGTATCTATTTGTTTCCGAATAAAAACATCTGTATCCTAAATGGAAACAATAGATACAATGTTTCAACCGCTGTAAATGTGAAGGAACTGTCAGAGAACTGTCAGAAATAGCGGAGCTCTCTGCAGGGACACTTTTTGCCGGCTGTAGAAGGGATGAAAATCGGCCGATCGGGAAAAATTTGATTCGCGCATCCGAAGTTTGCTAATATTCGGATTCGGTGCGAATCGAATTTTTCCTAAAATTCGAAATGAATTCCACTTCGCCAGGTTCGATTCGCTCATCTCTAGTCAGTACCATGGAATCCCCTTATCTGCAGGTATGGGTGCATTCCTGTACCCAGAACTGGTTGTTTTATTTCCTCAAATGTATTGTATCCTAGGTCTCTTAATAATTTAGAATTTAGATTTGGTATAAGATGTTCATATGCCGAGATTGGGAGAGTAAATTTGAAGTTTAGGATAGGAATCAGAAATTAAGCTTAAACCCATGTTCCAAGCTTCCAACGTGGCGACAATAGATGGTAAAAAGAGAGGTAATCAGTTTAGATGAGACTGCTCTAGCCAGGATAAGGGCCTGTAGGTCTTTATTAGGAATCGTATTCCGTTCAATCTGCACCCACAATTTGTCCGTGGGCGCAAACCAAGCCGGAAGTTGCTCTAAAAGTGTTGCATAATAGTATATGGGTAATACGGGTAGCCCCATTCCTCCTTTTGATTTATGTTTCGTAAGGGCCAGGAATGGAATCCGCGTTTTTTTTTTCCTTTCCATATAAATCTTTTGATAGCTAGCTCTAGCTAAAAGAAATAGTTTCAAGGGATGAGAATTGGAATCGTTCTAAAATAATACAGAATTTTAGGAAAGATTAACATCTTAAATGCTGCTATTCTACCTATCCACGATGTTTCGAACTTATCAAGCCTTCGCATGTCTAGCAGAGAAGATTGATACAGTTTTTCAAAGTTATTCTTAAATGTGTGAGAAGTCGGGGATGATATACAAATGCCAAGGTAGTCCAACTTTTTGTTGATCCACTGGTAAGGAAATGTATCCTTGAGAAAGCCTAGAGGGCATTTCTTAATTGCAATAGGAAGGGCACAAGATTTAGTAACATTGAGTTTATAATAAGATACCGCACTAAAGGACTCCAAGGAATTCGAGATTTCAGTAAGAGACTGCATCGGATCAGTGACCGAAAGGATTACATCGTCCGCAAATAGGCCTATTTTATGGAGGTAGATGCTACTTGGATACCTGAGATCCGTGGATTGGATCTAATTTCCTCCGCTAGAGGTTCCATCACTAATGAAAAAATTATAGGGGATAAAGGGCAGCCTTGTCTCGTGCCATTGGTAATATTGAAAAGGGGCTGACAGGGCATTAGACGTGAACACCTGCGCAGAAGGAACCATGTACAGTGCCATAATGGCTGACTTTATGAAGCCAATTATCCCAAATTTGGTTAAAGTAGCACCTAAATATCTCCAATGAACCCTATCAAATGCTTTCTCGGCATCCAACGCCAAAAACACAGCCTGGAGACCCTTTGATTCCGCGTCGTGCATCAAATTAAGAATCCTACGGGTGCCATCCGCTGCCTGGCGACCCTTGACAAACCCCACCTGGTCCGCTTGAATTAGAAGGGGAGTGATATTTAGTAAGCGATTAGCTATAATTTTAGCGTATATTTTAAGGTCAGTGTTTAAAAGTGAAATTGGCCTAAAATTTTGAGGCCGGTCCGGGGCTTTCCCCGGTTTGGGTAATGTAACTATAACAGCCTTTAGCATCTCCGAAGGGAATTCAGAGTTCAATATAGCTGCGTCATAAGTCTTTTTAAGATGGGGCACTAAAATGGGTTGAAAATTCTTGGTAATATTCAGCATAGAAGCCATCTGCCCCTGGGGATTTCCCTTTAGGCAGTGTTTTAATAGCCCTACTAATCTTGGATTCCGAAATAGGTTGGTTAAGCCCGTCTAGTTTCTGGTGCGTTAACTTTGGCAGTGTTAAGTGATCCAAAAATTTTTGGATAAGTTCAGGGGTAGGTTGAGGAGTGTTGGGGTCCTCTTTAAGATTATAAAGTTGAGAGTAGTAGGAACGAAACGCATCCGCTATTTTATTAGGATGATGTAAAGTTTTATTGGAAACAGGGTCAATAATAGACGTTAGTTTAGATTTTGCCAGTCTAATAGTAAGGTATGTCGCTAACATCTTTCCCACTTTATTCCCTTGTGTATGAAAGGTAGTTTTGGCTCTTTTCAAATTTAATGCATGGCGCCAAGACATCAGGGTTCTAAGTTCAAGCCTGGCAGCTTGGAGGTCCTCTAGGACCTTAGTAGATAAGGATTGCTTATGAAGGCTTTCTAGGCTAGCTATTTTGTGGACTAATTCTGAAAAAGATTTGCTCCTATCTCGTCTATCCTGTGAAGCCAATTTCAAAAGAATACCTCTACAGTACGCTTTATGTGCGCACCACGTGCTAAAGACATTCGTAGTAGAGGGGGAGTTAGCATCAAAAAATTCCTGTAACGCTGTGGTGAGAGTAGAGCGAAATGCAGGGTTATAATACATAGATACATTGTAAAATACGGGAGAAAATTTTAAAGATTCCTCAATAGTCAGAGAAATAGGTGCATGATCTGACCACGTCATGGGGTGAATATCTGCACTAGCAACCATTGAATGTCCGTCAGGAAGAAGTCAATTCTTGAGTAAGAATTATGTGGTGCTGAGAAGTGGGTATAGTCCCTTTCTGAAGTGTGTAAACACCTCCATGGACCATACAGATTAGCCTCGGACATCACATTGGCAAGAGAGTGTCGTAGTTTGCGAGTTGAGTGGGAGGAGTCCAAGGAGGAATTAATAATGGAGTTGAAGTCTCCGCAAAATAAGAGGAATCCCTTCTGGATTTTTGCCACTTTTTTCCGCAAGGAGTTGAAAAAGTGGATTTAATGAACATTGGGAGCATAGATATTGACAATGGTATAAGTGATGTTGTTGATTTCACAAACTATGATTAGGTATCTTCCTTTGCTATCAGCCTCCTGGAACAACAGTGAAAACACGACAGAATTACGAATGGCTGTAAGGACCCTGCATTTTTTATTCGGACCATTGGATGTAAATATATGTAGGAATAAACGATGCAAGCAGAGTGGGGCTTTAGTAGAAGCAAATATAATTAATAATACTCGTGAGCCAAAATGTGATACTCCCCTAGTGCAATAAATGATTTAACAGACAAAAATATATATCAAATTATGGTGCATCAACACTTTACACAATACTCATTATCTGTGCAAAACATACACTAAATAAAAAATTATATATATCTACAAATATATATATACGTGTCACGCTCCATAGTATACATGTAAACTCATATATTAGAGCTGTATTCAGCAGGTATATGGCCCAGATCCTGGGATTGTGAATTGTGAAAAGAATTTGTTTTCCCCCTGATGAAGCCACGTGACCCTGTGGCGTAACGCGTAGGGGAGGGGCTCTGACATCACGACGCCACGGTGGACGAGCGGCATTCACAATCACAGGATCTGGGGCATATACCTGCTGAATACAGCTCTATTGGACACTGCAAAATGTGAGTGGTGACTTTACTCTACTAATAAAAGATTGAACCTCACAAAGGATAAGGCACTATTGTGGCTCTTTTTTTACATGGTTCATTGAGAGGAGGATATACCATCCAAATCATTTCTACCCATCCATTGAGGCTAAAGTGTGGAAGGAGGAATAAGGGAGACCTCTGGTGGCAGAAATAAGGCAATCCACAGCATGGATGGAAACACGTATATAGTGTGAAGATTTCCACCCTGTCCTGATAAGGACAAAAAGTGTTTTTAGCCACTTTGGCTAAATAAGGAGGTGAGCGCACACCTATCTATAGAGCACGGGGAGTGTGGCACGAATCACCTTACTTGTCACTGAAAAGTTATAAGACTATAAAGAGGACTATTTATGAGTATTGGATTAGTATTATTTTTGCAATAGCATCACAAGGTGCACTGGTTTGAAGCACATTAATTTTTTCACGTTATTATTTATATAATCACTAATATATGAGTTTACATGTATACTATGGAGCGCGACACGTATATATATATTTGTAGATATATATAATTTTTTATTTAGTAGAAGCAAAATGTGTTTCCTGAACACAAATCACGTCGCCAGCTAATCTTTGTGCTTCTCTCCACATCGAGTGACGTTTGAGTGGGCTATTGAGACCATGGGCGTTCATAGATACGATTTTTAAGACCATGGTGAGGTTAAGGTAGATGATTTAGTAGTGCCTTCAAGTGGTGTAATGAGGAATAGCATAGACAAAATTGTGAGCCAGGTGAATATGCTTACTGTATCCCCCGAAGACCAGCACGAGGTAGAGGATTGCTTCTTCATCTCGCAAGAGAAATATGGTTTAGTGTATGTCCAAACTTGGTCCCTTCTGGAGCTCTGAAGGAAGAAATTTAGCCAAGAAGAAGAAAAAAAAGGAAGGAAAGAAAAAAAAAAACATTTAACGAAAAACTTTGTGTGAACTTAATCACTTCAACGGATGGGGGTTCAATGCCGAGAGGCGCAGCGTAATACTGGCTTTCTTGGTGTACAGCAGGTAATTAACAGGGGGTTAAAAGGCACGGGAGGAAGTACGGCACGGAAACTCATCCCGCCACTTGTTCCCAATCAGGAGGCATTTTTCTAGGGGAGCCTTTGGTAGGAATGGATGTATCTTCAGCTGGCAGAAGGCCCCATTTTTTTGGCTAGTTGGAATCCCTCCATTTTGGATTTTACCGTTACTACACGGTTGTCTTTGGTGATGAGCAGTTTGGTAGGAAAGCCCCATTGGTATTTGATATCATGGTTTCGTAGCTGCTTCGTAAAGGATAGCAGCTTTTTTCGGTCTAGGATGGTATGTTGGGAGAGGTCTGTGAACAAGGATATCCCAGTGTAGGGGTCTGGAAGCGGATTGTTTTTTCTAGCGAAGAGCATGAGTTCCTCTTTAACGTGATAAAAATGGATTCGCACTATGGTATCTCTGGGAAGATGGACGGGAAGGAAAGAAGGCTTTGGCAGTCTGTGGGCCCTGTCTACTACTACCTCTCTGTCCAGAGTGTGGGGCAGCAGAGCAGAGATCATTTGTTGAATATAATTGCGTAATTCAGTGTTAGAGATGGTTTCG